ACTGCTTTAGGCACTAAAAGACCACAGACTACAGGTGATTCATACCTTAATCCTAGTATTTGGGAGGCAGAGATAAGTGAATCTCTATGAGTTCAAAGCTAGACTGTTCTACATAGCTAGTTCCAAGCCAGCAAGGGCAACATGGTGAGACTCTGTCTCAAACCACAACAAAGGACCAAAGCCTCCAGTCATGTACACACACCTGAGCTGGGTCCTTAGGCATCAGGAACCCCAAACATTGCTCTACACACCTGCTGTAGATACTTGGGGGTCTTGGCACTCTGACCATTGCCCTTGGTGTTTGAACAATATAGAATGCCTTATGCAGTCCCTTTCCTAATCACTCTCTAGCATCTGTGAAGCCAGAATTATCTCCAAGTATACTCAGTGGCCACACTTCTCCCTCCCTGAGTGCTCAGCTCTAAGCAACTCAGGATCAATTTTCCCAGTGCCAGCACACCTTGCAAATAGCAATATGAACAAGATGGACGGTACACAGGATCAGATCTGATAGGGACCGAATCTTAAAGGAACACTGGGAAGGAACTGCCACTCCTCCTGAAAGATGCGGCTGTCAGGTCCACGGACAAATGATTAGCTGTGCCTGTTAGCATACCAAAGTGCATGCTGGCCTCCAGGCTCTCTCAGAACCTGTGGCTCCTCTCAGCTCTCCTCACCACCACCATCCCTAACTCATAGGCTTCCCTTCCCCAGCTTCTCAATCCTACATAACCTGCCATTTCAGTCATCGCTCTCTTTGCTCTCTTGGCTCACTTGACCCTCTAGGCTGTCCCTCTCTTGCCCCTGTCTCTCTTGGCCCTCTCTCCCCTTTCTCTTCTTTTCCCGTTCTCTCTCTCCTCTCATGACCCAGTTCAATCTGCTGGTCATGTCGACACTACTTCTTTTTCTCCATGCCCTGGAATCTTCCAGATGCCCCTGGCTGTACTGTTCCTCATATCTACAATAAAAGTCTTCTCAACCATAGCTCGGATCGGTCGTGTCCTCACTTTACACAGTGGCATTTCATCTTCCATCTGAACGTTAAGAAGCCCCTGATTGGCAAGGGGCAAGCCGAGCAGGGGCAAGAATAACAGCTCCAGAGAGTGGGGAATCTATGACTCACTTGGGAGAGTGGGACACACAGTTCTACTCTAAGTGTGAGTGTGTGTGTGTGTGTGTGCACGTGAGCGCTTGTATTGTGCATCCTTGTGTGCGGGTGTGTGTGTGTCTGTAGCATGTTTGTGGAGGCAGACGTCAACCTTGGGTGTTCTTTAGGAACCTTCTGCATAGTTGTCTGAGACTGTGTCTCTCACTGATACCAAGAGTTCACTGAGCTCGGCTGCCGGGCTGCTGAGCCCCAGGAAAACACCTGCTTTCACCTCTCCAGTGCTAAGATTCCAAGCAGGTAGGTGCCAGCATACCCAGGTTTTTTGTTGTTGTTGATGCTGCTGCTGTTTTTGTTTTTGTTTTTTTATGAGGTTCTGGGCATCAGAGTCAGGTCCTCAAGCCTGCAGGGAAAGTATTTACTGACTAAACTACCCCCACCACTACTTTAAAGGTTTTTTGGTTTTGCCACTCCTCTGAAGAATTCCCCAAACCTCTCCTCATTTCTCCTATATTTCTCCCTTTATGGATTTATTTTTTATTATTTTAAACTATGTGCATGTTGTCATGTGCACATGGATGTGGTGCCCATGGAGGCCAAAGGCATTGCATCCCCTGGAGGTGTAGTTATAGGCAGGTGTGAGCCACTCCTTATGGGTGCTGGGAACTGAACTCAGGTCCTCTGGAAGATCAGTAAGGGCTCTCAACCGCTGAGGCTGAGCCATCTCTCCAGCTCCACGCCTCCCCTTTTGCTTCTAGGGTGTTGGGTGTGTGGATGTGAGACTAGTGACATTCAGGAATTGATCTGGTCTATTCTATCAGTGAATAAAATGAACTCTCACTGTCTCTGCATTTTAAAAAGACAGGCAATTCTTTCTAAAAAGTTTGCATTGCCCTGCTGTAAAATTAGAGTTTCTCTGTAATTAGGACAATTGTTCTGGGACAATGCCTGCTCCTACCTGTTCTTCGCCTCACAGACAGATGGTTTGCTTTTGAATAAAACCCATTTACCTTAGTCCAAATGTCAAGATGTATGTTAAATTGTATTTTCGAGACTAGGCCTGTGTGTACCACTTGGCACAGCAAAGCAGACAATTTGAACAGCTCTCCTGTCCTCGTCCAGCCTGACCCAGTTTGGCAAAACCAGGCCAAATGAGACGGTAAACAGGGAGCCAGGGTGGAACTGGGAGCAGGGCCCTCTGCTTCTGGAACCCTGGGAACCAGAGCCAACAACGACAAGCAGGAAGGACTGAAATGCTCAGCAAGATGGCCTCGCTTGCCTTGCACAGTAGCCCAACCAGGGCTTCGTTCTAGATGCCCAACTTGTGCTCTGAGCAGGAAACACCACTGCAATTTTCTAAACCCAAACAAGGGCCAGTTCCTGAAAAATGCACAGGCAGACCCTGCTCTGCTCTGAGACTGGTGCTAACCAGCAGCGTGGAACTTCAGGAGGAGGGAAATCAAGAACAGCTACCATGCTGCGCACAGATGAAACCCGGTGCCCTGAAAGCAGACTCAAACGCTGAACTCTCACAGGGAGAGAGTTCTAAGAACACGTGATCTTTGTGGGGCTTCTAAATGGAGGAGAAAAAGATGTGTAGGGAAAAGGGGCCAGTCAAAGAAACATACCCTGAGCAGAGCCAAAGAAACACACTTTAGCCCTGCAACCAGAACCAAAGAAATGTACCCTGACCCTGAAACCAGTGCCAAAGGAACTGTACTTAAGATGTACAGAATTTCAGGAAGAGTCGTTAGAGGATCAGGGTGATTTGTTCTTCTCTTCCTTTCCACTGCTTAGAACATAGAGATGGCTGGAGCTCCAGCAGCTATCTTGGACCATGGAGGAAACATAAACTACTTTATTTAGTTCATGATTCTTTGGGTTCCAAGTTCTGCTATTCACAGCCTTATCTAATGTTGCTCTTAACGTTTTCAGATATTTTTATTAACCCTTTTTCTTTTTGCATTAGAAACTTGAAAACTAAGATTCAAAGTCCAGGCTCCAGAGTCATAATATTTGCTACTTGGTTCTTAAAGCTTGCTTTCTGATTGTAGGGTCTCTAGCAACTTTATTACTAATGCCTTGTGAATAAATGGTTCCCTGTGCAAATCAATATTAATTTAAAATTTTCCTCTCTATTCAAATCAGCATTGATTTAAAAAAAAAACTGACACAGTTCATCCATGCAGTGTGTGCGGAGGGTTCAAAGTTACAGGGGTAGAGACATCCCTAAGCCACTAGGACTGGAGGAGACAGTGTGTGGCTGGAGAACTGGAGTTTCTTCAGTCTTTTAAAAGTAATAGTTTTTCATTAATTGAAATACAATTACATCATTTCCCTCCATTTCTTTTCCTTCTTCTAACTCTTCCCATATCTTCCACCTCAATCCTTTTCAAATTCCTGGCCTTTTCTTTAATTCTATTGCTACATAGATATGCGTGAATATAAACGCAACTTTCAGAGCCCAGTCAGTATTGTTTGCATGTACATGATTTCAGAGCTGACCACTTGGTATTGGATAACCAGTTGGGGGCTCATCCCTGGGGAAGACTATTTCTTTATTTGCCTGTAGTTCTTTGTCCATGGTGGTGTGCCTCTTGCGTGTTAGAGTGTCTGCTGGTGTGTGCATGCTCAGTCTTGTTTAGGTAGCCGTTGAGTTACTGTAGGTGAAGTTTCCCAGTCTTCTAGCTCTTACACTCTTTCTGTCCCTCTTCCGCAATGCCCCTTGAGCCTCAGGTGTATGAGTTATGTTGTAGATGTATTTACTGGGGCTGGGGACTCTGTCGTCCATCGTTCTCTGCATTTTGACCAGTTTTTGTGGTTTTTCTGTACTGATCTCTGTCTGCTGCAAAGAGAAGCTTCTGTGGTGTGGATTGGTAGCCACAGTTACCTGTGGGTATAAGGATAACTGTGTGGAATGCCATTGGGAATTATGCTGGTTTAGTGAAGTGGTTATAGTAGGTTCTCCACAAAGATCCATGCCTTCACTGTCCTGAGTAGATGGCTAGGTTGACAGCACCATGATGATTCCCCTCCTGTTGAGCAAGTCTTAAATCCAATTAGACAGCTGTTGGTTACTGCTAAGATACGAGTGCCACCACTGCACGATCACCTTGCCATGTTGGTCGTTGCTGTGGTTGATAGGTATTATAGATGGGTAGGACTATTGGTTGCTTTCTTCCCTTAGCAGTTTCCATAGCACCTTCCAAGACTATGGAAGGTAGTCTTTCAGGGAGGAGACTTTCAGATAAGGTCCAGCTCAGTTCCTCCAAGTGTTTTGTCCTAAGTGTATGGTGTCTTCAGCAATAAGCACTTATCTTCAGCCTCAGAGACACAACCCTTTCCCTGTTCCTACTCTTAACTATGTCCCTCCTACTCACACCTCTAATCTTGGCCCACAGGCCCAAACCTTCTGAGTATGACTCCCTGGCCCTGGACTGACTGACTTATAATCTCTACTTCTTGGCTTGTAAGCCTGAGCACATGCATCCTAATTCCCCAGAGCATATTAACCCGTGTAGTGATGAGCTTCACCTATCCTACGTCTTATTCAGTTCAAGCCTGAACACTTGCATTTGAACATGCTCTTATCTGCTGCTGACACTACCCACTAAAGATCCCATAGGAGAATGGTACCCCCTCAGGGCGTAAGTGGCTGGACTGTGTATACACACTCAACACACTTGTTCTCTTGTTAGCCTCAGTGTCCTGGTAAACATGCAGCCAGGCACCCCCATACACATACACACCTCTATGCTTATACTAGGCATGTCTCAGGGATTCTGGTCCTCGTTTTCTGGACATGGAATCTGACTCAAGCTGTCTGAAGAGCTGCAGTGGAGGCCTATAGCTATTGCCCAAAAGGGATCGCTGAGTTCCAAGTCCAGTTCTTTACCTTATTGCTGAGGCTGTTCTGGAAAGGTTCCTTCTGGGTCCTCCCTTCTGCCACTGCATGCCACCTGCCAGTTGTAGTGCTGATTGGTGGGGACAATTCCCAAGTCTGGAGGAAACAAGATGATCAGTGGACAGGCAAGCTGCAGGTGGGTGGTAGCTCTGTTCCCATTCTTGGCACTCATGAGCAAGAACAGGCCCAATAGAATGTACATGCAACTATATAACACATGATTTTAGGACTGGGGAGATGGCTCGGTGTGGTAAAAACCAATCATAAGGACTTGAGTTCAAATCCCTAGAACCTATGTAAAACCCAGATGGCATATAGCTAGTTCTTGTCTTCAAACCAAGTCCGTTAGTTTGTATCTTTTTAGTGATTAGTTGAGGTCATTTGCATTTAAGAACATTGTAGAAAAGGGTTTGCTACTTTTCTACAAATGTGTTAGATGACGTTCTGTTTTCTTGGGCTACCAGTATTTTCTGCTCCCATAACAGATTTGAGGCTTTGCTGAGCTGCCTTGTCAGACACAGTTATTTACTCCCCAAGTTTGGTCTGTTTATCTGCTGTCAGGCTGTCTTCCACCCTCCTCCCTGTGAAGTGTTCCACTGAGAGCCTTCTGCAGTGCTGGCTTGTCATGAATGTCCTTCATTTGTGTTGGTCTTAAAATACCTTTATTTCTTCATCAATTTTGAAAGATCATTTTGCAGGATATAGCATTCCCGTATCACAGTCGTTTACTTTCAGAGCATATACATTGCATTATAATAACTTTGTCTTCCATCCATGAAATTTGTTCTTCTGAATGATCTTCTCTGTTAACAATGATGCCTGCTCTAGTTTTCATTTTATTGGCTACCTCCTTCAAGTATTTCTGTTTGGTTGTTTTTCAATGTTTTAATCTCCTTGACAAATTTTCCTATATATTTTGAAAATTTGCCTACAATTTATTAACTGTTTTGTTCACTTTGGAGAATGTCTTGTCAAGGTCTTAGGTAGATTTCCTTAATTTGTGCACCTTTTTTTGCATTATATTTTGTTTTTTCTTTTTTTATTTTTCAGTTTAAATTTAGATAAGAAACAAGGTTGCTTCACAAGTCAGTTCCAGGTCCCTCTCCCTTTCCCTTCCCTCCTCCCATGCCTTCCCCCCAACCCCCCCATTATCCCCTCATTTCCCCAGGGAGGGTGAGGCCCTCCATGGGGGTGTCCATAGTCTGTCATTTCATATAGGGTAGGGCCTAGACCCTTCCCCAAGAGTTCAGGGTGAGAGTGCACCTCACATTGTTGGATGGGAGTCCAAAGTCCGTGTGTATACTCGGGATGGGTACTGATCTGCTGCCCAAGGCTCAATAGATTACCTAGGCCTCCTCACTGACACCCACATTCAGGGGGTCTTGATCAGTCCCATGCTGGATTCCCAGTAATCATTAATTTTTTTTTAAAAAAACTATATACAATACATTCTGATCGTGCTAATCCTCTCACATCTCCTCCCAGATTCTCCCACCTCTCCACCCACCCAAATCCAAACCCTTTTCTCTCTCTCTCAATAGAAAATAAGCAGGCAAACAAACCTTTAAAAATCAGAAGAAAAAAATCACAAGAATCTCTCTGTTTCCGTCTTTCTCTCATCTCATCTCTTTCCGTTTCTTTTTGTCTCTCTATCCCCTCCCCACACACAATTGTTGAAAACTAACTCCATTTAGAACTGAGTTTCAAACTGAGTTACTGTGTAGAGAAAAGAAAACCCTAGGAGTCAGCATGTCTTTACTCCTAGCCTCAGGACTGCTAACCACAGGATGCCTAGACCACAACCCTAAGCTCAACCCCATCAGCACTTGAGTCTTGACAGCAACCTAAAGAGTAGACTTAACTCAGAGTCATCTGGCTCATTCCCAAAATTTGTTCCCTCTTCCCCTTATTGTGTAGTTGTTATCCTAAAATAATAACCAAATGCTCATTCTGCTTCTGTAATCTCATTTAACCACTGCTTCTCAAAAAAAAAACCAAAAAAAAAAACCCAAAAACTATAATAATGCCTCAGGCAGCAATATATCCCCAGAGTTGAGACAACTCTGATTTGTGCCTTTAAAAACTCTAGTCCCTATTTTCTCCTTTTGCAACAGCTCTAAGATTGGCAAAGTGACTGTTGTTGCAACATTGCTATAAATTTTTTTTTTACTTCTTAAATGTAAGTTTTGTCTATTCTTTTTTGGTGACCTCAAACTCCACAACACACACACACACACACACACACACACACACACACACACACACACACACTAAGACAAAAAATGCCCAAACAAAGCAATAGGATGCAAAATGCCTACAAAAATACCATTGAGTTCCTTGTGTGTTGTCCATCTACTGCTGGGAATGGGGCCTATCCTTAAGTGTGCTAATATACTCAGTGAAACTCCATTGGAGAAAGCTCATTTTTCCTTTGTAAGCCAGTGTGAATTGCAGATAGCTTCTTGGCTAGGGGTGGGAGCCCATGTCCACTCCCCCCATCACCACCCCCACTTCCCCCTCAGCAGTGGAACTCCATCTGCCTTGAACCTGTGTAGGCACTGTGCTGCCAGTCTCTGTGAGTTCATACATGCATCAATCTTACTGTGTCTGAAAGACAGTTTCCCTGGGTCTGCACCACCCCTGGCTTTTACAGTCTTTCTGCTCCTCTCACTCCTAGCTCCCTGAGTCCTTAGGGGAGGGGTTTGATGAAGACACCCTATTTAGGATTGAGTGCCCCGAAATCTCACTCCATGTCATCCAGTTGTGGGTGTCTATCTGTGCTTGTTCCTATCAACTTCTTTTTTACTTTCTTTCCTTTTTTTGTTTTTTCTTTTCTGCTTTTTGTTTTTTTTAAGACAGGGTTTCTCTGTGTAACAGCCCTGGCTGTCCTGGAACTCGCTCTGTAGACCAGGCTGGCCTCGAACTCACAGAGATCCACCTGCCTCTGGCTCCCTGAGTGCTGGGATTAAAGGCATGCACCACCACCACCCAACAGTTCCTATCAACTTCAAGACGTTTTTCAGATGTAGGCGTGAAAAGCCTCAATACAACCCTCCCCTTTTTTGAGACTCAGAAGATCGCCTCAGTGGAAAATTCCCCAAGGTCCCTTCCCCTAGACAGGGAACAAGGTCTGATTAGAAAGAACATCTGGTCCAGAGTGCTAACGAAGGAAACCAACAGGCTGTAGAGATAAGTGCAATTCTGACCTTGTGGTTTCTTCAGGGAGGATGAGTTATGTTCACGCTTCTGGCAATCCCCTATTGCTTGCCCAGATCTGCACCTGCAGTAGCTCCACTCCTTACAATAACCCTATTACTTTGCTTGCCAAAAGTATGTATATAAAAAGAAAACTGTCCTAGGGCCTGGCGCGTTCAGTTAGCAGAGCTGCTGAATCACCCACAGACGCCTGTGTGAACAATAAACCTCTTGCGGTTTGCATCCAACTGTCTGGTTATTGAGCTTGGGACGTCACCGGGGTATTCAGCCTGAAGCCTGATTACCTTAGGTCTTTCAGGCAGAGTGAGGTACTAATAGATGGATATAGCAGTATGTCATTAGGAGTCATTTCATTGCTATGTTCCTTTAGCAGAACAATAGTGTAAGCGTTTCGGGATGGGTCAGGACAGGATGGAAAAGGAGTGGGTCAGGTATTCTGCACTTGGGAGTCACAGAATACTGAGTGTTACACAGCTCAGGTGGAAAGGTATCCTGGAGCTCGGGAGCCAAGGATACTGAGTGTTACACAGCTCAGATGTAAAGGTATCCTGGAACTCAGGAGCCACAGGATACTGAGTGTTACACAGCTCAGATGGAAAGGTATCCTGGAGCTTGGGAGCCAAGGACCACCACAGGTTGCAGTAAGCTTGGCTGCTTGCAGCCCAGCCTCAGGGAAAGGCTTCCCCAGTGTATCAGCTCCGCTCCCGCAGGACAGGGTCTTCCAGCTGGTGATGTTTGCCTAGTGTAGCAGTTTTGCTCGGCAGGAGGTTCTCGGGTGAAGTTGCTACAGTTCAGCTCTGCTCCTGGAAAGCAGAGAGTGGAGAGTGGGCAACTCCTCTCTGCCAAGGGAAGGTTTCCCGGGCAAGTGTTACAGCCCTGCTCGCTCTGCTCTGCTCTGCCCAGGGTCGCCTCTGCTCCGTCGCCACCACAAAAGAAGATATTCACCCAAAGCTCATCTGAAGGGGTTTATTGGAAGGCAGCTGGACCAGCCAAGCTGAACATACACAGGGTTTATATAGGGATTCTTGGGGGCGGAGAAGTTTTTCCAGGGTAGGGATTGGTCCGATTTCAGTGCTGAGCTCAGATTGGCTAGAGCTCTGCTCCAGGATTGGTTAGTTTTCTGTACAGGATTAAGGTCAGATTTGGCTCTGGTTTCAGGGCCAAAGTGTGTGTTTCTTTCTCTGGTCCTTTTTAGCCTTTTGGCTCCCATTTTAGGGCCAGGGTGCATTTCTTTCACTGGCTCTGATTCCAGGGATAAAGTGTGTTCCTTTGGCACTGGTTTCAGGGTCAGGGTACATTTCTTTGGTTCTGGTTGCAGGGCCAAAGTGTGTTTCTTTGGCTTTGCTCAGGGTGTGTTTCTTTGACTGGCCCCTTTTCCCTGCAAATAGTATTTCATTTCCCCCTAGACCAATAGCCTATACAGTCTCAGGTTTTTGGCTACCTGAGCAGTGTCCTACCTGGGTTCCATCTCTTGGAGTGGGCATTAAATACAATCAGAGAGAGGTTGGTTACTGTGGTGATATATTATTTATGATTTATTCAATCTTGCCTGAGGATTCACAGAGCAAAGCCAGCCTTGAGCTATAGAGATCAGGCAGCAGTGATACATACCTTTAATCCCAGGATTTAGGATTCAGAGGTAGACGGATCTCTCAGAGTTCAAGGCCACCCAGGGCTACATGAGATTGAATTGGTCTAAAAGAGTAACAGAACAGTCTGGGACTGCAGTCTGAGGTTTGGTGAAGCCAGAATTGCCTTTCAGTCAGCTAGTGACTGGCTGCTTTGGTTTTCTGATCTTTGGTTTGAAGCTTGAACCGAAGTATCTGTATCTGGGTCTTTTATTTATCGTGTTATAGGTTACTCCCACAATCTTTGTATTACTATTATACCATCATATCTTGCAAGGAAGTTGTTGTAGATTGCAGATCACCGTAGAGTTTGTAGCTGCATTGATGGTTACCTTTCTCCTCTAGTTTACAGAGTGCTTTCCAGTACCATAAACACGTCAGTAGGGGTGAAATCTCTAGTTAGACACCAGCTTGACTACTACTCCATGTTCAATGAGATATGTAAGTGTTGTCTTCAGCACTTTACTATCAGTTCGTGGAGAGTAACAATAGTCCAAGATGTTTGGGAGTTTTCATAGGGCCCCTTTGACTAAC